AATACTCAAAGGGCTAATATTCTAGTTGGAAACATATTTTTCCATTTATAAACACCTATTCTCTATAACTTTAAAAAAGCGTCCAAAACTTTTTATATAATTAATCGAGTTTGCATAAAACGACTACACGACCATGAGTTGTTTTATGATTTTATTTTACAAATTATACTTATAGACTATAATTAGTATATAATTTGATTGTTTGCTGATACCGGTGTCGTATATATGGCAATGGATTGTTAATTTCGTTCCAATGATCGCTCAGCAAACAATTTTACTCTATTTAAAATGTGTCATATGGATTGATCAAATCAGTATTAATATTTTGATATTTTTATATAAACAACAATTGTCTTCAATGCAAAACGCCTATACCTGACCTTTCCTTGATATATCTATTGAAACGAAACTTTTATGGCCAATGTTTTTGTATACACGAGAAATAAGAAACAAATATATAAATACGTATCATTTTCCACAAATACTTGATTAATTAACGACAACTGAGACTTTTGATGAACAGAAAAATTGATCAGTATGAATACTGATACTGAAAATTGTAAGTGTGCATTCAGAATTCAAAACAATTTGAACTATTAAAAATTTGTTTCTTTGATCATTACTGAAGTTAAAAAGTCACGTTTTTAATGAAAAGTCTATATCTTAATTATTTTTGAGATTCATTACAAATGAAGAAAGAAATAATAATTTTGATATCTAAATCTATTTATATCTCGATCAACAAAAATTAAATATAAGTAATGCTACCCTGGTGAATGTGGCAGTTGAAAGAAATAACAGAATATTTCAAAACATGTTGCAGTTAACATATTCATTTTTTTTCTAGTGTGAAATACACAATCGAACACAAAGTGCTATAATCATTCATATTTACTACAAAATATTGCGCAATTCATAGGAAATTCCTTCCCAATGACTACCGCGTAAAAAGAACAAAGACCTATGCCAATAATAATATTGTTCTTTACTGGAAATCAAACAGAAAACATTATTAAATTAAATATGAGTAAAATAGCATGTTTGCTTTTATGTTCAGATTCTATGAAAGCTTTTAATCAATGAACCTAAATAGTATATTTCCTGTGTATGTCATACGGGGTTTTCACATTTATTATATTTATGCTCGATAAATCTATATTGTATGATCATTGACTTGAACTTTTCATGGAAATTTCGTGATGCTCTTAAAATAAATAAAACTTGTAAATAAACAAGCACGTAAAAAGTATTATGAATATGATACTTTAATTAAGTTTTATATCATATTATAATAATAATTATATTAAATATACAAAGTCATGAGCAATTTTGGGGATTTACCCTAATAATGTTTATCATAGTAGAAAGTGGCATTAGTTGAAATTTATGAGAAAACTCATAACCATTGTGATTATTATTTTTAATAATTAACACGTTAATCGTCACGAAAATATCAGAAAAAATTGGGCCATAGGATATGGTGACTTTATTAGATAATTTATTAAAAATGTATATAAAGTAAATATATAAAGTAAATAAATGTAAATGTAGAAACTTACTGTATAAAAGAAAATTATTCTTTGTTAAAATTTCTGAAGAAACAGTATTTTCGTGTCACACATGTATGATTGGTATGGCCCTATATTAAAATTCTCCTTCTCTACCTACCAAATACCGTTTGTTAGACACATATAACTGACAAAGTAATTAAAGTGTTAATCATATTTTCTAAAAGCCAAGCACAAGGATCAATGAATTTCCACCAAACTTGTAAAAAAGGAAACCTTTAAATACATCCTTGATATTAAAATTGACTAGACATACAAAATAGTCCAAATTATATTTTTTCTATAAAAAATGAATTAAACTTGGTGTGTGATGTGCAGTAATTATTTTTCAATGATAGAGTTAATTTTATGGAATCATGCTGCGTGAAATTAATATTTTAATTTTTCAAAAAAAAATATTTATTATTCACTTTTAATTAAAATTATAAAGATTGATTATTTATATAAGTATACATATGTGTGTATGTATGAATTATTGCATTTTTATTAAAAAAGGTTTTTATTTTGTTTTTATTTTTTTCTATTCAATTAAGTAAATCTTTTGGCAGATTAAAAAAAAGTTGAAAAAGAAATTATGCATTATACAGTTAATTTTAAAGAAAAAGTTGTTCAGGCGTTTTTTGGACAATGTCAATTAACGTAATTATCAACTTCATCTGTTTAAAATCAATCTAGGACTAAAGACTCTAAAAAAATTATTATTCACAAAAACAAATGGCGATCTTTCCTTCTAGTAAACTTACAAAATTTAAATATTCTGGAATTTTTTAAATTTATCTAGAATATTTTGAATAAATAATACTAATGAATAATTATACACTTAATTCAATATTGTATTCAGCTCTTATGTTCGACTCTAGTATTTCCGACTTAATAATATATTTATATTTTACCCCTTTCAGGCCAGATATATTTAATTCATAAGGTAATAATGTGCTGTTCGATATACGTCGAAATAATTACCCAAAAAGCAAATAAACAATTAATTTGTATTAAACACAACAATTTCTAGAACTATTAAACACAAACGTAAAAATATCTGTAATATAAAAGTATCAATCATAACACAACGCCTTTATGCTAAGAATGGTATTATTTGAAAAATGTAAAAATGTACTCAAGTTAATTCCAAATGTTGATTTTTAGAATTCATGATATTGCAATATCAGAAATAGTATTAAACTTACGACCAAAAATTATAATTAAACTTTGAAAAATTAGATTTTTGAGAAATTTTGAAAAAATGACTTTTTTGAAAAAAATTTTTTTTTTCTGTATTTTAATTTTTTTGAAAATTTTGAACATTTTTTCATAGCTGATTTGGAAGACATGTAAACATTGGTACGGAACCCATATAACTGTACACAAAATTGTACTTATTATTATAATTTTATAACCTGCCTTTACGAAAATTTTAGCAGTTGTTCATTCCGTCAATACAAGTAAAATGTATTACCATTTTTTGTGCCGTATCTTCGAAACGGCTAGATCTGCCTTCGCCAAAAACTAATCAGAACGTCTCCTTATCAATACGTATCGAATGTTTCTTGAATTATTCAAATCGGTTGATTCGTGTTCCCAAAATCGTCGACGAAAATTTGTATCCGCACATACACATACATCGATTGTTTTCAAAGGTATGCCAAAATGTTCAAAAACCTTTGATTCATCGATTCATTTTCATCAGTTTTCTTCACTCCACTAATCAGTATAATTATGATTTTCAAAAATTTCACATTAAGTTTTTATACTTATAATAGAAATAATTTTGAATCCTAAGAAAAACAAACCAAAAATCTTTAATCATTTGGTACTTTTAACTGTTTGTTTTGAAAATTTAATTTGAAATAATTCTTTCAGTCTTGGTCTTAATAAATTTTCACATTGTTCTATAGCATTAAATTTCTGATTAAAATTTTCTAAATTTCTATAGCATTAAAAGCTTTTGCATAGAAAGTATAGAAAGCTTGCATAAAAAGCTCTGACTTACAAAGTTCCATAGCATTAAAGCCCTTGCATTAACATTATTGTCAAAAAAAATGTTTTATCACCAAGTCAATCAATTAACTTAAATTTATTAGTTCGACATTATCCTGCAAAGTCTATAAACCATTTTAGTAGTGATTTATCATCACCTTAGGATATGAAATGAAAAATTCAATAAACAAACCCATATTTATTTAATTAGACAACTCATAAAAATATAAAAAAACAAATTACGTCACTTTCCCTCTTACATCCCTGACATAGATTATATTTATTATGTTCATAGAACTCGTCTATGGGTATGTAATTACACAATAATCAATTGCACGAGAATAGCTTTTATTATAATGGATTTTTTGCCATATTCATAATACAATAAGTGCTAGAAAAAAACATCGGAACTAGAGTAACTGTCGCAATATTTGCCTTCATTCTCTATGAAATCACAGATAAACCAACATCGTAGTAATGAGAGGATTTAATTACTGAAAAATTTGTATACCAAATATTGTGAAAGATAAAAAATATTTAAGTTTAATTGGTCTTGATCAAGAAAATAGTATTGGCTTGTGCTGATATTTTTTTTAAAAAGTGCATCAAACTGAATGCAATATTTTTATTTTGAGTGGATTTTTGGATCAACGCAATATACATATTTTAAGTAAGTAAGTTTTTTTTTTAATATTTTTAAAAATAATTTATACAAAATATATAATTGTTAAACGTTTCTTGTGTGTCCACAAAATATAAAAAATTAAATCTGATATTTTATCCCTACTAAAATAAAGAATATTCTTTGGAACAGGTTTCATCTACAATTATCTTCTTGCGCATCTTTATTAAGAATCTACTATAATAATAAATACTAAAAATATGTTTGTACGGGTATTAATTTTATCGTGATTTGATAATAACTTATATTGAGAGCAAAATCATTATATATGATTCTTATTTATCCTTACTAATATATTTTTGCAATTTTTGTTAGCCAAGCCAATAACTCATTTAATTCATTTGCATTATTAAACCATCTCAAAAAACATGTATTTTTAAGTAAAATAAATTAAATTCAATAAATGAAATGATAACTTTGTGGCTCCAAAATACTTCAGATAAAAAATTTGTAACTCATATGAAAGCTAATTCATCAATTTTATCATTTGTTGCTATACCTGTTAAATCAATCACACATTGATTGATTGAATTCAAGTTTGAGACTTTAATTAATTTATTGACAATTTCAATGATATATCACTCTAAAGTAGAGTATTTATCTACCAAGTAGATAATGAATACGAATTTCTAATGTTTTTGTTAGAAAAAAATACACTAAACGATTACAATGCTACTTTTCAATTTTGATCAGCACTAATCAAAAAAAAAACAAAAGAATAAAATAAAAAAATCAAATAATAATCGCAAAATTATCTAAATTATCTGTTAAAGATGGATGGATTTAATAATGCGACCAGTACAATTATGAATTTGGCAAGGTATCTTGGACCAGTGAGAAATACAGAAGACATTTCTGCCACATTTCAAGGAATAGTCTTTAGACTTCTTGCAAATTTATTCAGCATGTCATTATCTTGTGCAATTTACTTTAGAACCAAAGACATAATAAGACAAATACGCATTTTTTGCCGAAGGATGAACATGAGGGATGAACCCAAAATTCATTATTAAAATGAAAAAAACTGTGCATTTTATGTCACTAAATTGTGCAGTTTACGTCAGAGAAAAAGATGTTTTGAGACAATATGCATTTTTTGTCGAAGGATGAACAATGAACCCATAATCCATGTCAAAGTGAAAAAAATGTGCATTTTATGTAATTGATACAAGTGAGGAATAAATGGTCAAATTATGAGTTGCATTGTGTTATTTCATAAAATTTAATTTTGACACTGCTCACACCCAGTTTTTATGAACATAAAAAATACTCAAAATCTATAGTGATAGTGAATAAATAAAAATGATAAGTAATAAACGAAGGAACAATATGGACAAACCATATTACTATAAAGCATTTAAATATCCTTTAAAAAGGAGCTCTTTTTTACCCCTTTCCACTCATATGCCGCCCCTCCGGTAGTAAAATTCATATACGTTTCGGAATTCGCGAGTGAAAAGGGTTAAAAAAGTTCATTTTTCGCTATAGATATTCAATATATTAGTAGTATATATCATGAAGAAAATACCGTGGAATCTTCACGTCCTTGTACATAATCAAATCCTTCAACATTTAAAAAAATATATAAATTCTTTTTGACATTTATATTCCACTTGTTCCATAAAAGCATTTTTTTTTGTAATTTTATACCAAGAATTTGTAATTTTTAATGAGAGCAATTTTCACGAACTAATTACGTGTTAACAAACGCGATATCATCAATAAATAGTATGATATAAATAATATGTTGATACATATTTCAAACTCAAAGAAATATTAACAAAGCTTCTGGACATCACTTCCATATCTTCATTTTCCATTTGTCTAACGATGTTCAAACACTTTTGTATTGTTGCATTAAAGATTTGTCCATTTGTCCACTGCAAAATGCCATTTGTTATATTCATCGACCATTACATTCCAGAATGGCCAATTTAGCAGTCCTCTCAATATTGGCAATGTTGTCACTTGCCTAGCCACAGGATTTATATTTCGTGATAGTGCTCCTACAAATCGATCAGCACCTCAGTCCAGAGCTCGAAAGGTTATTCCTGCAAAAAATAAATTCAATCAGAAGAATTCACTTCAGATGTTGGCCAGACAATCAACTGATGACATCAGGTGTGGCTGCGTTCCGCAAGGAACATGTGTTGCCAATAGTGCCAACACTGATGGCACAGGATTGATTGACTTCAGGATTGTCACAAATGTAAGAAATTGAATAATAAGCATATTTTTACTGAAAGTTATCTCTTAGAAATCGTATTTTATAAAAAAATTGTTTCTTAAGTTACTTTTCATTAAAATTCTGCTCTCAAAAGGTAAGCATGACTTATATAAATACCAGAAGATATCTCCTGAAATTTGTGCATTTAGAAGTTTTGATTTAATGAAATTAATATTAATTATGTATCTAAATCATTATATTTTTCTTTTCAATAGACGCCGGTGCCACCCATTAATCCTTGTTTAGAAGGAATGCAAGCATGCTGTGTTTCTGGTCCAGCACCTCCTTGTGGACAAAGATACCAGGTATGTCTAAATAATAATAACTTAAAAATATTTAAAATACGAATCTTCCCAAATACGAACAATTTCTACTTGATACATGCCCTTTCTTAACCAATAGTAATGATAATAAATGGTAGTCTGCCCGAAGGCAGGTCCATGGTAGAGAGCCACTATACATGATTCCCTTGCCCTTTATTATCCATCATTCTCATTACCACTATTGTCCTCCTATTTTTTTCATGTATTTTTCCTTTCGAACTTCTGCTTCGAAGTCGTCAATCATGTGCATTCTTCTTCTTTTTATTCCTTTTAGTTGTTCTATTTTACTTTATTTGCAGAAAGGGTCCGATCCAGTTTCCTTTTCTTTTCAGAATTGTACTCAGTAGAGTCGTTTTTTCGTCCACACTTCTCAAGACTTCTTCATTTGTTATTTTGTCTGTCCACTTTTTATTCTCCATCCGCCTCCAGCACCACATTTCAAAACTTTCCAGGTAGTTCTTGTAGGCCTTTCTTAACAAATATTCAATGAAATATCATATTCACACTAATTTACATCAATTCATCAAACAACTTCGCATACTTGTTGATTGTCCAATAGATGAAATTTCTAACAACATGTTATTACTTTTAATATTTTACAATACCGTATGTACCAAAAGTCTAAATGAGCAACAAAACAAACTGATAGAAATTGAAAATGAAGTAATCCATTTCATACTATTCCAGGTTCCTCAGCCAGCACCAACGGGTCCAGGTCAGGCGCAATTTGGAGCCTATCCTTGGCAAGCAGTTCTTTTACTAAATAACGTATATATGGGATCAGGAGTTCTGGTGGACGAACGACACGTTATAACAGCCGCCCATAAAATTGAACCTTATTTAGAGTAAGATCGGTTAAATTTTTTAGAAATATGGAAAATATTACTTCTATCAAGTAATGATAGACTATGAAATGTTCGATACCTAAATGTAGTGATATTGTTGCCAGTGATTTTGCTGACATCAAAGTTCGCCTGGGAGAATGGGATGCATCTTCAGATCGAGAGCCAATTCCACATCAAGAATTTGCCATTGAAAGTGTTGCAATTCATCCAGATTACAATAATGGAAACTTGCACAATGACATCGCAGTTATAAGACTCAAGAATAATGTATTACTAGGTACTTCACCACTTGTTGCAGCAGCTTGCTTACCGACAAGATCATTCAGCAATTGCAAGTAAATGAAAACTATATAGTATAGAGAAATATACAATTTTTGAAAAAAATTAAATAATTAAAAGATAATCTACAACTTCTTTATATTTATAATTATCTAGCTGTAAATGCTGGGTATCCGGATGGGGCAAAAATGCCTTCACCGGTCAGTTCCAGAATGTGCAGAAGCAAGTCGATGTAATAATACAATCCGCAGATGGCTGCCAATCATCTTTACGTGGAACCAGACTTGGAGCTGCCTTTGTGTTCGATAGTGACAGTTTTATTTGTGCTGGTGGAGAAATAGGAAAAGATGCTTGCACGGTAAAAATAGTGCTCTGTTCTTGACTTAATTCATTCTTGACTTATTATTTTTATTCAAATATATTTTCCACTTTTGTGCCTTGCCAATAACGGCGTCAACAAAAATCTCGATCAATAATATCACATTTTCATTCACAGGGCGATGGTGGTTCACCTTTATCTTGCGAAATCAGCGGTCGCTGGTCAATACCAGGACTAGTAGCCTGGGGAATTGGTTGTGCAGATGCTGGTGTTCCTGGAGTTTATGTTAATGTACTAAATTTCATACCTTGGATTGAACAAACAATAGCTACACCTTGATAGGTTCAGAGTTTTTCATAATCATTCATGAAGCACTAAAGCATTTTGATAACCAACATTTTTTGATAACGAAAAGAATACGGAAAAATTCAAAAGATATTTGGGAAATCATATAGAAAGTTAAATGTTATTAGGAAAAAATAACTCCAACTTATTTGTTAACCCTTTCCACTCGCGAATTCAAGAATTTATATGTATTTTGCCGCCGGAGCGGCGGCATCCGAGTCGAAAGGGTTAAGTTCTATTAATTTATATACATATATTATACACTCACTTCAATCATAAAAATTATTGATTGAAATCTCTATATAATTATAATTTATATACTATTATAATTTACATTTATATACGTTATATGTCTGTATTTCATAAAATATTTATATAATCAATTTCATTACAATTTGTTCACATCCATTCTTACGATTATTCTTATATTAAAATACGGCATTACTTAAATTACATACATGCATTTAGTTAACACTATGTACTCAATCGTAATAAAGTTTCATCAAAGTTGTAAAAAAAAAAAGAAATAATTACGAAAAAACAGCTCGGTCGATCATTACTGAAGAATTCCCGACTAAAAAGTTCCAAAAAGTTTTTGAATTTTTTAAATCCATGCTAGTTCCAGTTTTGGTTTCAAGCATTTCAGAATGACTTAATATCGAAAAAGCATATAATTAGCAATTCGGTTTATCTGGTGAGAACAAACATTTTCATAGAAAAATTATTAAAAACCATATTTATCGAAACCATACTCATAATAAATAAAAATAAAATAGCATCTTACATCTCTGATTTAGATTATATTTGTAACGTCCATAGAACTCACCTATGGGTATGTAATTATAAAATGATCAATTGCATTTGAATAGCTCTTATTATAATAGATTTTTTTGGTATTATGATATAGGTACCCATAATACAGTAAGTTTTAAAAAAAAACATCGGAACTAATGTAACTGTCGCAATATTTGCTATCATTCGTTACTAAATCAGAGATAAACCAACATCGTAGTAAAATGGATTTTATCAATTAAATCATTTGTATACCAAATATTGTGAATAAATGAAAAAAAAACTTGATTAGTTTCAATAAATAAATAGTATAGTCTTTGCACACTGATTTTTCTAAATAAAAGTGCGTTATACTGACAGCAAAACGTTTGCAATATTAATTATTTTGGTTGAATTTTTGGAGCAACGCAATATACAAACAACTAGAGGTAAGAATGATTTAGTTTTTTATAATAATAATTAATATAGAATATAATAGTAGTATAAACAGTATTTTTTCATACAATCAACCGGGGTTTTATGTATATGATATAGATATAAAAATAAAATTAAAATAATCATGCACTATGAACCGTATAAAACTCCAGGTAAGTACTATTACTTCGCATTTAATTGCCTCAGATAATTAACGCGTTAAAATATTTTAAATAATATATTTGGACGTAGAAAATTAAATTAAATTTGTAAATGCTTATAGATATTAAATTCTACTCTAATCAGAATATTTTCAACATTTATTTTACACGTGTTCGTTGAAAGCTTTACATTGCTCTGTTTGTAATGTTTAATCTTTAAATTTTCCATTTACGCACAAAATTGTGTAATTTTTAATGTGAACAAATTTTACAAACTCATTACTGGTTTTAAAAAACGTGAAAACGATCAATAGTATGTTATGCGTGAGCAAATCCATGTCTAAATAACAATATAATAATAAATATGAAAAGCTGTAAGTGGAATTCTGTCTTGAGGCAATTATGGCATCGTGCCTAAGGCAAATTGCTGAACTTCCCGTACCGTCGAAATGTTCGTGGAATACTGAATGTTTTCAAATAGATTATTCTAATATTGTAAACATTGTCAATATTTATAAGAATTATAATTTGTATAAGAATAGTTGTAAAGTATATTAGAACTATAGTCAGAATTAAAAATGAAATCTGAAATATTTTCGATATAAAAAACTAAAAAAAAAAAAAAAAAAAAAAAAAAAAAAAAAAAAATGGAACAAAATTTTTTTTTCCAAAAATCAATTATTTGTTAAGACAGCAGAAGTTCTTTGAATCAATTGAATCGGACGCCTTAGTTCTCTCAAAACTGCCATTTTTTGTACATTTAGCTCTGTATCTCCGAAATGGCTGGGCCTGCCTTTGCGAAAAACTAATAACCCTTCTCCCAATCATTACTAATTGAATGTTTTTTAGATCATTCAAATCGGATGCTCCGTTCACTCAAAAACTCGATTTCTATTTTCTGCACTCTTTGCTCCGTATCTCCGAAACGGCTGGACCTGCCTTCGCCAAAAACTAATCAGCTCTTTCCCTATCAATAGGAATCGAATGTTTTTTAAACCATTCAAATCGGTTGATCCGTACGCCCGAAAACGTGGACGAAAATTTGTATCCATACATACATACACACACACACACACACACACACACACCCACACACACACACACATCCATTTTTCTAAAGTATGCCAAAACGTTCAGAACCTTCAAAACGTCGAGAAATGTAAAAATTTTCAATGCCGATTTTCGGCCATTACAATAATACCCTACGGGGAAGTTAAAAAAATGTGTATATACATTACATTTTCGAAATTGCGTATTGGCATCCGGAATCCAAATCTATATATTCATTTTTGCTTTATATGAAGATTTTTCGAACTATCTTTGTATAACACTTTTAAAATGGCTTTTCAAGAAGGCATTTGGTATATTCACTGAGCATTATATTCCAGAATGGCCAATTTAGCGATTCTCTCAATTATGGCAATGCTGTCCACTTGCCTAGCCACAAATTTTATATTTCGTGATAATGCTGCTGCAAATCGATCTGCACCACAAATCAGAACTCAGGCAGCAGTTCTTGAAAAGAATAAAATCAATCAAAATAATTCACGTCAAGTGTCCGCCAGACAATCGGCTGATGACTTCGATGACATCAGGTGTGGCTGCGTACCCCAAGGAACATGTGTTGCCAATAGTCCTAACACCGATGGCACTGGATTGATTGATTTTAGGATAGTCACAAATGTAAGAATTTGAATTCTCATATATGACTATAAACATATTCTTTACTGGGACTAATCTCGTACAAATCTATGATGTGTTAGTACGCTAGTACGTCCTCGTCATTCAAAAGACGTGGCCATTTCCTCTAAGAAATCTCTTGTCAATAGAATTTTTGCTCTCAAACGATATTCTTCTTTTGTATTTTTTTGCGATTAGAGAATTTGATTTGAAAATACAGTGGTACCCCGACATACGAGTTGAATTCGTTCCATAACCACGTTGAATTCGTTCCATCATAAGTCGAATCGCTCGTATCTCAAAATATTTTTTTCCATATAAATACATTGAAATGCCATTAATTCGTTCCAGCATTGTGGATTTGGTTAAGTTTTTCGAATATAAAAATAAATTTATTATTTATTAATTTAATTATTGTTTTTCCTGTCTAATCATGATATTAGACATGCTTCCAAGAACAACTCTCATGCTCAAGCTGTTGCAACTTATTCGGAGTAATTGTTATCCACAAACTTTCAGAGCTCAGAAAGCTGCTTATAAATTAAAGAGGAATAGCCCTTATCTTTAGACCCATAATGATTTATAAAATCAAAAAAAGCAAACTCAACATATAAAACTGTACAATCACTATTAATGAATAGTTAAAATTTCACACAAAGTCAGGTATGTCTTAAGTCGGTATACCACAGTATTAATATTTATCACTTTTCATGAAATTAGAAGTTTGGCGTGTTATCTAAACATACATATTTTTTTTAAAACTAGAAAAAAAATCAATTTTTTTTAAAAAAATAACTATATATAACTTTTCCCTAAATTAAACACTTAAAGTTAATGCACTCCTTGAATGTATAAATATCACCACTTCCAAATTTATTTAGGAAATACTCATAAATTCCTTGATTCATTATTTGTGATTACAACAGACGCGGGTACAAGAAATCGATCCTTGCTTAGAAGGAATGCAAGCATGCTGTGTTTCTGGTCGAGTACCACCTTGTGGACAAAGATATCTGGTATGTATAACATTCCATACATAAACAATTTCATTTTTTACCTAATGTGTTACTTTGATACAGCACAATGTATTATTTCTTTGTAGTTAATTTTAAACAAATTTTATAATTATTATGATAACACACTAGAGTGTGTTATTTTAACTGTTTCTTGGAAACATGTCATTTGACACATCGAAACATAACACTTTGCAGCAACACACCACAGAGCATATAGTTTAGTAAAATAAATAGATATTATAAAAATAATTTATTGAATAATTTTTCAAAGTAACAATTGGAAAAATTACAAAATTACAATTACCTTTGTTAGAATACTTTTGTCAACTAGGTATCATTATTTTCTAAAGAAAATATGTGCAGAAGTTTTTAGATTTTGCCTTCATTTTCTCGCTTTTAAATTGTATTTAATATAATTTTCATCCAAATATTTTGAAATGAACAACTTGAGCAAGACCTGAAACAAAATATAAAATAGTAATTAGGAACAAAAATATTAGGTACACATATTCTGGAAAAATAATTACCATTTCTCTATCTCCAAGTGTAGGAATTAAATTCATTTATTATATTGATTATCTGTTGAGTCTCATTTTTATCTGAAAAGTCAGTGATCATTCAGAGTCACTTTCAGTATATTTTTCACATGTGATGCATTCTCTGCCTTTTATGTATTTTTCACAGTTCTTTTAATTCGACTTGGATATTGGTTTCGTAGTCTTCATTACTAAAAATAAATAA